GAGGAGAAGGAGGGGGGGGGTCGAAGGGGAGGGGGGAAAGATGCGAAGAACGAGGAGGAGTGGAGGAGGAGTTTCACGAGTCACATTTGATGAGAAGACAGGGGCGCGCCAGGCAGCCTTGCTCGAGGATGTGCGCTCCAGGGGGGCACGGGTCGCGTGCGATACCGAGGTTTGGCGGGTGACGCGCCAGTCCCGCCTCTTGAAGGCGGATTGGGCAGCTGCGGCAGCAGGGCCCAGCTCCTCCTCCTCCTCCTCCTCGTCCTCCTCCTCCTCCTCCTCCTCCTCCTCCTCCTCTGCCTCCTCCTCCTCCTCCTTCTCCTCCTCCTCCTCCGCCTCCTCCTCCAAGCGGAAGTGATCAGGAGGAGGGCTCAAAGTCGGTGAGCGAGAGCGTTGCGAATCAGCTGTCGAAGCATACCATGGGAGGTCGCGCGAGGGTTCGCGAGTGCCGTGAGGCATGTCGACCTCGGCTGCCCAATGGATGTCGCCAGGCGCTCACGCCACTCAACACCAAGTCGGAGGCCATGGACAGAGCGCTGCAGGATCCCGACGAAGACGAGGGGGTGGGGGGCCAGGCCAGGGGTGTGCGCTTGGCCGGCATCATTTTTGAGGTATGTACTAAGTCCTAAGTCATGCCCAAGCGTACTGAGATCAACCCAAGCGTACTGAGTCATGCCGCTTTCGGGGTGAAGGTGGGGAGTCTTTGAGAAAGCCCAGGGGTTGGAGACCCTTGAGCGAGAGGAGCGAAATTCGTACGCTGAGTGTCTTGTATATCCTAGAGTCCAGGGTGTTTTCTTGCCCACATGCTGGACTGAGGCGCTTGACACAATGGTCCCACATCTGGGGTGGGCAGGGTTCCTGGTGTGTGCTCAGGGATGAGAGCAAGTTCGCGGACGTGACCGTGCGTAAAACTCGCTCTAGCAGGCTGGAGTTACGGCCCCCTGGCGTACGATTCATTGGGTTGCCGTCGCCTCCGCCGACCCCTTGGTACGGTGAGGCTCTGGGTTGCGCTCAGACAGCCCCCCCAGGCAGTCCCGGCTGGTCTCAACAGGCCCCCGACTAGTCCCGGCTGGCCTCAACAGGCCCCCCGAGTAGTCCAGTTCGGCCTCAACACCCCAACACTGGGGTGCGGAGCGCCCCAGGGGCGCCGCCGGAGGCGGCGCTGGGGTGTTGTGACCGCCTGTTGAGGCAAGTTGGGCCTATTCGGAACTGCATACGCCTTGGGGCACTCCTCCTCGTGCTGAAAGCACTGTGGCGGGTATGGGTAGAGATATTTGATAATAGATATGAGTTGAGGTAGGGCAGAGCGAGTTGAAAGGGTAGATGAAGTAGTCAGAGCAGTGACAGAGTAATCAGAGCAGTGTGAGAGAGAGGGAGAGAGAGAGAGAGAGGTAGAGAGAGAGAGAGAATGAAAAACAAAAAGAGACTGACTAGAACAAGAGAGAGAGAGTACCTTCGATCACTGTCATACCTAAGTAGTTCATAGCCGTGGAAAGAAAGCAGATCAGAGAGTATTGAGCAGTGTTGAGCAGAGAGAGAGAGATAGAGAACGAGATAGAGACAGAGAACGAGAGACGAGTTTCAAGAGGGAGAGAGAGAGAGAGAGCCTTCGACCACGTTCATACCTAAGCAGTCGACTGCCGTGAACAGAGAGAGAGAGAGAGAGCAGATCAGAGAGTATGTAGCAGGGTTGAAGAGACAAAAAGAGAGAGAGAGAGAGAGAGAGAGAGAGACAGAGAGAGCTAGAAAGAAAAAACAAGAGGAGGAGAAAGAGAGAGAGAGAGAGAGCAGGCATGGAGCACCTGCAAGAAATAATAACGACGTCTGGTTTAGTGGTTTCTCTCTGGTGCAATTGGGGTACGCCCTCTCTTCCGTTGTGTACGCTAGATTCCAAGACAGGTAGAACTTCAGCACGCGCGAGACAATCGCGATGACTCTAGTACAATGCACATCCTGCTGTATAAGAAGTAGTGTAGGTACTCATGTGTTCATGGACCATGTCTCTTGTAAGTACCACATGTTCATGGACCAGTTCATGTGTACACCCTTATATGCATATACATACCCAAGTATATAAACACGTGCAGCCTTTCCGTCGTACCCAGGTCCATTTCAAAGCCAGCGGTACATGTTGTAGACTCTTCGTCGAGCGAGAGACTCCGAACGGGCGGCACCGAGGGGATGGGAGGGGGGGAAAGTAACGAAGCCTTACATGACATATACATCCACAAGCACACCCATCTAAACACAGTTGCTCTCGACAGCGTTTCTTCTGTCAGACTATGCGAACGCAGTGTCTCGAAGCAGCCTAGTGAGTCTTATCGTTTGACCGCCCTCTCCCGACACTCCGAACTAGAACTTCCGTTGGGGGGGGTGGACATGTCATATGGATGGAGGCGGCTGACCAGGCCAACCTCTTCCCGCGCAGGACCTCCAGAAGGACGTCCGTGAGTTGCATGACCGCGACCTGGAGAAGGATCGGCCCCCCGGGCCGGGCTCGCTCCAGCAGAGGCAAGCTTACATCCCCAGCCTAGGCGGTGAAGGCTGAGCTTTTTTATCCTGTGGCTAGCAGGGTCCCCGGCGGCCCCGTTCCCGCAGGACAGATTCGTTGTCCGAGGGAGGTCGTTTGGGAGAAGAGAGGGTATGGAGACAGGATGAGAAAGGGGAGGGGAGAGGACAGCGACATAGAGGAGATGAAAGGAGAGGAGATAGGACAAGATATTTCACAGGGGGGAGAAGAGATGATACCTACATGTGTATATATATGCATCTATATATATACATATATATACATATGTATAGCTAGGTATAGATATGTGTGCACATGAGAGAGCACATATGGGACAGAAAATACACATCACACCGTATACATGCATTTTGCGTACCTGTGCTATGGAGCTGAAAGAATTGCGAAGGGGAGTATGAGATGTTGGGCGTCTTCTGCGCTCGGAATAAGGCCAGCACCGAATGTAATGGCCGCATGAGCGCAGCTAGTGGGCTCAAGTTCGTCAACCATTTGCTCTCTGCTAGATTGAGCATTCGTACGTGGTAATAGTGTGTATATATACGCACATGTGTCTCTCTCTCTCTCTCCTTATTCTCTCTCTCTCTCTCTCGATCTCTCTGTCTCTCTCTCCTTCTTCCTTATTCTCTCTCTCTTTCTCTCTCTCCATATACATATACATGTCTCTCTCTCTCTCTATATATATATATATATATCCGTATTATCGACGTGCGAAGGAACCAGCTTGTGGGCGAACCGCTCCCTAGGCATGTGACCTCGGCTCGGAGGGGACTCCCGGAAGCGGTTGCGGGCCCCTCCGGTCCGCCGGACTTGCTGCGAACGATCGGGGCGTCCTGTGACTGTCGGGGGCCCCCAAACGGGGTGGTAACCACACCGTGCGGTGAGTCGGTGGGGGTTCGGGGTCACCGTACGGTTCTGGGACTCGGGTCGTTCTCCGAGGATGTCTCGGGCGACAGGGGCATCCAGGGTCCCAAGACCGTGCGGTGACGGACCGTGCTGTGAGGTCTTGGGGGATCTCGAGGTCACCGCACGGTCTGTCACCGCACCGTCTCGGGACTCCAGAGATGGACCGTTGAGGGGCGCTTCTTCGTCAGGGGCTCGGGAGGAGGAGGAGGATCGAGCGAGCAAGTTGCCGGCAGTGTGCCTGGTCTCGAGGAGGGGCGCCCGTGCCCGTGTCGTTCCATGGGGGCTGGGGCTAGAGCCCCGAGAGGCTCAGATCATGTGTCTGTCGTCTTACAGGAGCGCTCGGGATGTGCTCACGCATACGAGGAGGAGGAGGAGGAGGAGGATATCTGGGAAGGGTGAGGGGGAGGAGCAAGGGGGAGAGCAGCGAGGAGGAGGAGGAGGAGGAGGAGGAGGAGGAGAATGAGCGGTAGTAGGAGCAGGACGGGCCGTAGGGCCTAGGGTAGAGAAGGAGGAGAAGGGGAGGATGATGGGGAGGGGATGCTTGAAGTGATCTGGCTCAGGGGTGTCTTAGCCCCATTGGTGGGTTCAGGTCTGGTGAATCACCGGGGCTTGCCGTCCGAGGACAGGACACGTCCTGCCTCGAGTGCAACGATTAAGCTCGAACCTCGTCCTTGATGGGGCAATGCAGCCAGGGGGGGTAAGTTCGAAGACCTTTTCGTGCTCAAGCCGGACCGTGGAAAAAGACAGAAGATTTCCCCAGGCTTTCCTGCCGACGCTGCGACTGTGCCCCGTGGGAGCTCTTCCAGATCTCTCCAGCGGGCTGGAGGCGGGGTCAGATGCCCCAGCGAGTTGCTCCGTCCGTGAGACAGGCTATCGTGTCTAACCGAATGTCTGTTCAGCGGTGCACATCCCCGATGGCCGCCACTCACATGGCACCGTGCCTAAATGCCAGCATTTCCGCCCAAGCGGGCTACACAGATTCGATTCCAGAGGACACGATGGGGCGGGTAAATGATGGCCCCTTCTGTAATGTGTAACAGAACGGGCGATCAGGCCACAAGAATGCATCGGAACAGGCCCAAGCGAACGTCGCGGCGACATCCGATTCTGCCCCAGCGCCTTGCGCGCAATGTGCAAAGCGAAGTGAAACCTTGCGTGAACGCGATACAGAAGCCTTCTCGGGCGCCTTGACTCCGTCGGTGGGACCAGAGGGCTGCTGCACTACCATGGTGAACCACTCGGGGACGAGGCAGCGCAGGGTTGCTGGAAAGTTTCCCAGACACCCTACTGACACCATGTCCCGCACCAGTCCAAGCACCATGTCCTGCCCTGAGCGCGACAAAAAGATAAAACAGAAGGACAAAGACCAACAAAACAAAATTAAACAATATCCTGCCCTGCGCGCGACGGATCAGCTCGAGCCTGTTGGCCGACGGGGCAGTCCAGCCAGGCAGGCAGAGATGCGCAGTCCCGACCGCGGGGAACGGCAGGAGCTTCCGCTTGGGCGTCCCTGCCGCGGCTGCGGCCCGTATAGGGAGCGGCACGGAGGACGGGGGGGCGCGGCGGACGGAGGGGCCCGGGGGTCTGGGCAGGGGGCCCACACTCTGGGGTCTAGTCTATGCTCCCCCCGCCCCCCCCCCCCCCCGCGTGTGGGGCAGGAGGGAGGGCGGAGGAGAGGGGGGAGGCCGAGGAGATGGGGAGCGGGGCAGGGCGAAAGGCTCGGGCGGGGGGAGAGCGAATGGCGAGGTGAGGGGGGGGGAGCGGGGAGGTTGCGTCGCATCTTCGGGGGGGCCGCGTCTGTGCTGTGAGGTGCGGTCTTCTCATTGCACCCGACGCAGATTCGGCGCGCATTCGGCGCGGTGACGCCGTGGGTTCAGCGCGGGCACGTCGTTCGACGCGGACTCGACGTGAAGGGTTGCGAGACGGGGCGGGCAAGGTTTCCCGAAGATGCAACGTAGGAGATGCCGAGGGCGTGGTTTGCGATGAAGGGTGGTGGGGACGGGAAGAGACGCGAGGGATGGTCGGAGCAGGAACGGGGCCCACACATCCAGCGTTACGTTGCGTTGCGCCCGATCGAACAAGTCGGCCCTGTGCAGAGCTCGGGTGGAAGATAAGAAAAATGCACCGTCAGAGCTACACGTCGTCAAACCAACGACGCCTCGGCTGGCCTCTTGCACGATGCGGCCGGCTGTTCTTCAGCGCATGCGCATGCGCATGCGCCGCCCACACTTCCAGAATCTTGGAAAAATCGAGGCGGAGGCAGAGGTCATTCGTCCTCCTCGACCTCCGAGGACCGCGGAAACTCGGGCACCGTGAGCGCCAGCCTGCCGGGGGCCGTCGAGGAGTCGCTTTTTCGGGAGGAGGCGCCCCCCATCCCGAGGAGGAGAGGGGGATCGGGGCTCCGAGGGCTCCGCGGAGGAGAGCGAGAGCAAGGCGTCGGATGTCTGGGGGGGCGCACCGGAGGCGGAGGGAGAGGGGGGTGGCGGAGCGGGAGGGCCAGAGGGGGCCAGAGGGCCCCGCGGAGGAGAGAGAGCAAGACGTCGGATGTCTGGGGGGGGAGGAGCCCGTTCTCTCCGGGCGTGCCCGAGCGCTCTGGGAGGGCCGCGGCGCCCGAGACATGCTCCATGAGCCGCGGGGCCTCGGAGATGCTCGGGTTGTGTCCTCACCCGAGGTTGTCCTCGTCCTGGCTTCGTCTTGTGAGAGGGGGGCGGCGGGGGGGAGAGAGGAGGGGGGGGAGGCGGACGGGGAGGGCGAGGGGGGCGGGCGGGGGGGAGAGCGAGGGGGGACGGGGGGGGGGGGGGCGGGCGGCGCGGGGGGGCGCGCAGAAGGCAAGGGGGGGGGCGGGCGCGGGGAAGGCGAGAGCGGAGGTCTGCGGGAGGGGAGCGGCCTCCAGGGGGCGAGGCGCACCAGAAGCACCCAGCGGGGCGGCCCCCGGGGCGCCGCGGGTCTGGGTCCCAGGCGCCTCCTGGCGGCGCGCACGAGGGGGCGAGGGGGAGGAGGGGGAAGGCTTCTTAGAATCAGGCGATCGCGGGCGTGGACCAAGGGGGCGTGGACGAGCGACGGATCCCGTTTCCGTTGGGAGTCGCGGATTTCCGCCGCCGAGCGAGGCGGCACCGGCCGCACTTTGGGGAGGGCACCTCCCCCGATCCATGGATTTGGTGACCGCGCGCCAAAACCAAGGATCGCTAATCCATGTTTGGCGCTCCGCGCGGATTCTTGGATCCGCGCTGGGCCCCCACGGCGGCGCCTCCGGCGCCGCCCTTGGCGCGCTCCGCGCGCCAGGGAGGGGTTTCCAGCGCAGATCCAAGAAACCCGCGTAGAGCGCCAAAAGTTTATGTTGATGCTGTTTTTCTTCTTCTACTCCAGGCTCCACCTCTCCAGCCCCATCTGGCCGTCGTCTCTCCTACTCCAGCGTTCAGACAGCAAGCGCCAGGCCGGCATGTTCGGAATTTCTGGGCGGATCGGTCCCACCCTGCAGCACCCGTGCGGTGCATGACGCAGGCCGTGTCCGCGTCCGTGTCATCCATTGGGCCCGCGGGCAACCCTACAGGTGGTGGCGTCCGTCACGCAGGATCTGGTCGCAGACCTGGACAAGAAGAGCGAGTCTCGCCTGACCATGGTCGTGGGGAGCGGGAGGTTTTCGCGGGTCTGCCTCTTGGGCTGTCCAGAAAGGACCTCGCCTTCGAGGGATCGAGACAGTGGAAAGAGCGTGTTTCGCAGTCGCTTGGGGGCCAGTGGGGTTGCAATCACCCTCCGGATCCTCCCCCCGCCATCCTTGGACGGGACCCCCCCCCCCCGGTGTTCGTGCGGCTGTGTGGTGTTAGATGGGCTCCTTCGTGGCCCAGTGGGCGTCTGTGCTCGTGTGGCCAAGGGGGCGTTCGCCGCAGTCTTGGAGTCGTCCAGCACGGCGAGGGGGTGGTGATCTGGCTGCAGACAGGGCCCCCCGCCCGCCCCTTGCGCCTCGTCAGGGCCTCTTGGAGCCTCTCGAGAGCTGCCGGGGGCCCCGTCCGAGCCTCTTGTGGCCTCCGCAGAGCTCGGAGCCTCCTCCGAGTTTCTGTTGGGGGTCGCTCCGGAGCTCCTCGGGGCCCCTCCAGAGCATCTCGA